GTCATACCTCACACTTTTCATGAGTTTTTTGAGTTTCTCGGGTCATCCAAATTTTATTTACCTATTAATAAATAAACATTAAAATAAAATAAAATGTTATGTTAATCTATCTATATTGTCTCCAAATGTGTGATAAAAATTAATCAAATTATAAACTTGATTATGCTCTTCAACCATAGCAGGCTAATTAAGAAATTCCCAAAGCATAACAAAAAAAAATCCTTCCCACCCTTCGCAGAAGCCAGTGGTGTCTAAAAAAATAAAAAATAAAAATAAAAATAAATGAGTAGCAGCGTTTGAAAAAAAAAAAAAAATCTTTCCCTTCACAGGTCATTGTAACTTTCCAATGAAACAAGTTAACAATAAAGGGATTGATACGAGATAGAGATGAAATGAATCAATTTAGTATGAATGTATTTAACATAAAAATAAATAAATTTAATTCTCTTAGTACCTTCAAGTAGCTAGAGAGAGAGAGAGCATGGAAGAACAAATAGAAATCTACATAAATATACGATACTAATAGAATTGAATAATCCCCGTCAGGGAAATCGAACTTAAATTTTATACCAAGTGACTATTGTTCAACATTGTAGCTTATGCTCGAGGGATGGATGTAAAGAATCAGATCCCAAGCTAAATGGTAGTGTATAGTTAGATAGTAAAATGAAATAATTTCAAAACATGATTAAATCCTTCCAATAAAAATTATACATCGAATTATAATGGTAATGTCAATTAACTCCCAAACATGATTTAATTAATTTTACTTCGTTTTGATTGCGAAGAAGAAGATTGCCACTGTGACTGTTTTTTTCTTCTTTGTGAATCTACTACCTTCTACGTTTGAACCGGTCGCTACCCTCTACGGTTGAACAAATGGGAAAGATTTTATTTTTTTTTTATTTTTATTTTTTATGCTTTGCGATTTTCCTTCTATGGTTGAACGAATGGGAATGATTTATTTGTTATGCTTTGAAAACGACTAATATATAATATTTTTAAGACCCTACTTTGCAGTCTTTGTTACAAATGTCAGTTAATATATTAATGTTCACTATTTAATAATCTAAAAGTTGGGTCAACTTATTTATCAACACAATTTGAGCACATTGGACCATTTTTTTTTTTTACTATAATAAAATTGGCATAACCCGCCATACCCCTGCAATTAAACGGAGCACATCACTTCCAGAGAACTCCACCCTCCTCTCATCTTCCCAAAACAACAAGCCACAACCCTCCTCCCTAGCCAATCTTATGTTATTCAAACAATAAAATTTGAATTGAAACTCAATTACACTTGAATTATAAATTTTATCGGAAACAATGAATAGAATTGGATTTCCAAAAGAAAAAAAATTTAGAATTGGATTGGTAGGATTGCAATACCATAAATTTGCACTACCAATGCAATCTAAATTCAATTTTAATTCCGTGCAATCAAATATAGTATGCGCGTGAATAAATGTATACACCACACAGACGGGTACAGTATGGAAATAAGAGGTAAACTTATATCTCCTCCTCAGAGGTAATTCAGCTATAGATTATGCACTTTTATCAAAGTAAAACTGGAAACACAAAAAATATGTTGAATAAACGCCTAATTCCCAAGGAAATGAGGTTTCAAAAGATTGGGTTTCATGTTTGTGGGGGTGTCTAACTAAGGTTAAAGTTTCGTAAGGAGATGAACATGGTATATTTACTTTCTCAAATTCGTTTTCGGATGAATGAAAAATTAGCTTCAAAACAAGGTATTTGATATGCTTAAAAGGGTATGCAAAATGTGAGAAGTGGTTGTCCCATATTGAAAATAAATTGAAACCAATTAAAGTTTCTATAGCCCAAGTTTAAAATTTGGGTTTGCGCCTAAAGGCACCCAAGTTTTTAAGAGGGGGAGGACCTAGACAAGCTTGGGTCCAAGACATTTACCACAAGTGCCCCCGCCTACACAGTCTCAACTTCTTCTTCTTCACGCTATAATAATAAATAGGTACAGGTTCCACTTGCGATTAAATTAATTCTATACTTTTTTTTTTTAACAGTCCATTCTTTCCAATTTTTCAGATTAAAAAAAGAACAAGAATATATAGATCTTAAGTAACTTAAAATAAAACTTTAACACTGATTGGTCCAGCCACTCACAAACATTTGTTTGAATGAATGTAAATGAACGTGGACCTTGGACATTTTTCTGATTACTGAGCTATAACATTTTAAAATCTCTAATGCTTAGCTACTCACCTCTTTGTGTGCTCCAATAACAATTTATTATATGAGTTTTAATAATAAAATAATTCACATCTTCTTGTATTTTTTCGGATCAACAATTGAATAAACGTGGGTTATTTTTTTATTAAAACTGATGTGGTAAATTATTATTAGAACACACAAAGAGTGAGTAGAGTGAAGCTACTCACTGATAAGTACCTAAGCATTATCCTTTTAAAAATATGTCCCATTAGTTCAAAATTTACTAATTGAGATCTGCCTATTTCGAACTGGTAGCCAAAACAGGTTCAGCTTTTGCAAAGCAGAGTTGGTACTTTGTCCGCCAAAGTAAGGGCGGGGATCGTATACTAATTACAAACCCATCCCGGAGTAGGGACAGAATTAGTATGACGAATTTTCTAACAAAACGGAGTATGGTATAGCTAAACTCACCATAACCCCTCTCCATTGCTATCTCTACCATAATCCCGTCCAAAAAAAATTCCTGCTCCAGAGTTTAAACGCAATCACAACCCACGATCTCAAGTACCTTATTCACTCTCGTAAAATTTTCAGGCAGGAAACGGATTGTTCGAGTTAGTTATACTCAAGTCTGAGCCCTAATCACTGTAGATCCATTAGGGGTATATTTGGTAACTCGTTCACTACTAATACAATAAAAAAAAAAATTAGAGTTACACGAACCTCCCCTAAGGTTTGCCCTAATAACAAAGACCTTCCCTATAATTTTTAAAATTACTCTGACCTCCCCTAAAAAAAACTTTATTAAATAGACATCTCCTCCCATTGACAGATGTTCAAATGGGCTAACAAAATTGCGAATTTACAAGAGTGTACAGGTGAGGTGCTAAACAATTAAAGCAAAATTGAAAAAAAAAAAAAAAAAAAAAAAAAAAAAAAAAAAAAAAAAAAAGAAAGAAAAAAAAAAGACACTTATTCCCGTTAGTTCTTTCTAAAGATACATAATGAAACTTATATAATTATAATATATGTAGAGCAGTGTTCAATTGCTTCCTGGTGGGTAGGGAGTAATATAGTAATATACTCACTTTTACTCATAATTTTATGATCTAATTCAAACGACTAATTGAAACAATAGTTATTTTCGGTAATTGTCTTTCTTTTAATTAGCCATTAATTATGAAATGACTATATTGGATACTTTTAAAAATAATAATAATAATAATAATTTTTTTAATCTGATTAAACTTTAACTATGCCCCTTCTCACCACTGTCGATCCGTCACCACCACCCACCACCTCCTCCCCCAACCACACCACGATACTGCCACCCACCACCAGCATACTGCCACCCACCACCACCACATACACCAATAATTATGAGGACGTGAATTTAAAGATGTATTCTTGATCATGATAAGTTTTTTCTATCGGGTTCTTGTGACTTTCTCATGATAATTATGATTAATGATGGGATCTAAATGCAAGCCCTTTTAAGTTGTAGATTTAGTAATTCTTAGTCAAAAGTAGCCATCAAATTTGTTTAGGTGGAGGTGGTGTGGTGTAGGTGTGGTGTGGTGGTTGTGTAGCAGTGGTGGGGGGAGGTGGTGACAGGGTAGAGGTGACAGTGGCGGTGGGGTGATGACCGTTCATGATTAAATATTTTTTTTCTTTAAGAATTTATCCAATATAATCATTTCATAATTAATGGCTAATTAAAAGAATGTTAATTTCTTAAAATAATTATTAGTAGGAGTTGGATTAAATCTTAAGACTATAAGTAAAAGTGATTATATTGCTCTTTGCTCAACAAGGAGCCATTGAACACTAATAAATATGATTATATATATATATATATATACATGTAAGAATCAATATGGTCTATCTGTGTCCTACTCCCTTGCAAAATTTTAGTCAATTGGTAGAACATTCCAACTGTTAGAAAGATATTTCTTGGATATGATTTGATATTTCCTTAATAAAATAACTTATATAATTATACGTATGAATTAAAGGGGTGGTGGATATGATTTCTATAATGGGGATTGGACTGAAATTACGCAAATTCTCTGGTTTAGGACTTGCGCCTTTTATAAGGGATTGTTTCCTTTTGACGCAAAACAAAGCTGAAACAACCAATTTTCAAAAACAATCATGGTGTGTGTATATATATATATGTGTATGTGTGTGTTCAATAAATTCAATCTCATATAAAACTATTGTGTGTGTGTATATATATATATATACAGATTTATACCCAAATATAATGTCTTTTTCAATAGATATGAACCTAAATATAATGTTCATAAATGAGTAAACCCAATATTCAAATACAACCACCGTGTGTGTGTGTGTGTGTGTGAATGCATGTGTTATTTTTTGGGGTGAAATAGACATAGAGGGGTTTTTTTTTTTTTTTTAAGGTAAAAGGGTAAGCTGAAATAGACATAGAGGTTGAAGAAGAAAGAGAGTGAGAAAATGGTCCGTCTTTAATAAAGGGCAAATTGGCATTCTATTAATATTAATTGTATGACATCAGCGACTTCATAAGTATTAAATATGAGTGTTAAAAAAGAGTAAAAACTTTTGAACAGGAGGTCCTTTTATAAAATTAAAAAGAATGGATACTTTCATAATAAAATTTTTTAAAATTCACAAGGTTACACGATTTATTTATTAAATAAATTAAATAAAACGCAATTTGTTATTAGACCAATTGCCACTAATTACACGATTTATTCCTCTGCCGATATCTTTCGGTCACGTCCAAAAAGTCTACATGGAATGTCTTCCAACTTTCTTTTTTACAACGACTTTTTATCTAGAGAAAGATCGAGAGAGTGAGAGGCGAGCAGAGAAAATCAAAGAGAGAGAGAAAGAGTGTAGAGAGAGAAAGTTGAAGAGAAATGGGAAAGAAGGCAGTGCTGATAGGTTGCAACTACCAGGGGACGAAGGCAGAGCTGAAGGGATGCATCAACGACGTGAAGAGGATGTACGCTTGCCTTGTGGACCGGTACGGCTTCTCGGAGGACGACATCACTGTCCTCATAGACACCGACGACTCCTACACACAGCCCACCGGTGCCAACATCCGCCACACTCTCACCGCTCTCATCAGATCGGCGGAGCCCGGCGACATCCTATTCGTCCACTATAGCGGCCACGGCACCCGCCTCCCCGCCGAGACCGGCGAGGACGATGACACCGGCTACGACGAGTGCATCGTCCCAACTGACATGAACCTCATCACAGGTAAATTCTTCTTTTTCTTTTCTTATATAGTAATTCATCTTCTAATTTTTTAATATATACACACAATTATACATACACGCACATTATACGAATTGATGAAACTTTCCAGTCTGCCACTGTGATTACCAAATCTCTCTGGATCGTCTTAGATCTGTCACTCCGTCACTTTTTTATTTCAATTATGAGAGATCTTTCATTTCTATGCAATACCAAACCCTCAATTTTACCAAAAACTATCTTTAAACTATATATATATATATATATATATATATGACAGTTTTTACATCTGTTTGTTGATACTATAATAGATGACTTTCCCTGATCGGAAGACAAGTGATTCATCGGGTTCTATGGCCATAATATTGTGTGAAATACAGTAACATCAATTTTGTGGGTCTAATTTATACTGTTACGAGATCTCTATATCAATGTGCTAAACCCTCAATTCTGCATTTTTATTGAAGCATGTCAATTATTAGATATCTCTTTAGGGGTTTCAACTCTTATGAGTTGAGAATTCTTTTAAGTGGTTGTGTTCTCCAAATCTTAGCATGAATCTGCCTGTGTTAATTCGATAATACTTACCTGAAAACAAGTAAGTTAAATTTTTTATTATTTGTGTTTAATTATAAAAGTCTAATCCGGTTAGTCAAGGGTGCTGGAAGGGTGCTGGAAGCCTGACATTTTTTTTACCACTGCATCAAACGATGGCACTTGCTTTTAATTGTGATAAAATGTTCTATTAATTGAATTACCTTCTATCACAGTCTCTCCATCCAACACATGATCCAAATTCCTTGAGTCAACTTATAGTTCTTCTCATCCAAGCAAAACATATGATAATTTTTTTGTAGATCTGTCACTCCGTCACTTTTTTATTTCAATTATGGGAGATCTTTCATTTCTATGCAATACCAAACCCTCAATTTTACCAAAAACTAAAAAATAAATAAATAAATAATATCTGACAAGTTTTTACATCTGTTTGTTGATACTATAGTAGATGAGACAAGTGATTCATCTGGTTCTATGGTTATAATAATGTGTGAAATATAGTAAAACACCAATTTTGTGGGTCTAATTCATGCTGTTAGGAAATCTATATATCAATGTGCTAAACCCCCAATTAACTGCATTATTAGTGAAGCATGTCAATGATTAGATATCTCTTTAGGAGTTGATAATTCTTTTAAGGGTGTGCATGGAATTGGAGTCTTAGAATTGGAATTGGAATTAGTAGAATTTGAGAAAATTTTGGTCCATTTTTCTCAACTATTTTTCTCAAATTCCACAAATTCCAATTCCAATTCCAATTCCAAGGCTCCAATTCTATGCAACTGAACACACCCTAAATGGTTCTGTGTTCCAAATCTTAGCATGAATCATTATGTGTTAATTCGATAATATTTACCTGAAAACAAGTAAGTTGAATTTGTTATAATTTGTGTCCAATTATAAAAGTCATCACTAAGTGTAATCCCATTAGTGAAGGGTACTGGAAGGGCCAACCGGTGGAATTTGACATACCCTCATACTCGAACCTATGTTCTCACATTGGAAGCCTGACATTTTTTACCACTGCATCAAACGATGGCACTTGCTTTTAATTATGATAAATTGTTCTATTAATTGAATTACCTTCTATAACATGTCTCTCCATCCAACACATGATCCAAATTCCTTGAGTCAACTTCTAGATCTTCTAGTTGATTTTTGTATAGGAAGTTCGTTTTTTCTTTTTATATCTTTTACATCTTCTTTTGAAATTCACTTGAGAATTCATGTGGCTGACCTCATTCATATGGGATTAAGGTAAGGATGATGATGATGATAATTGTGTTCCATCAATAAGTTCCAATGCAATATTACCATATTGAGCTTGTTGTATTTTATTTTAGTTTTTAGTTGATTCTAGTGTTCTGATAGTAAAATAGTGTGAAAAAATTCAAATTATATGGATGTATGGAAAGAATCTTCTACAATTCATTGTTTCTGGTGGTTGAAGTAAAAAATAACTTCAAATGATATAATTACATCATAAATTGTGAGACAGCAAGCTGTCAGAGTCACAAATTTATGATGTAGAAGTTGACTCAAGGAATTTGGATCAATGATACCTAGTTCCTCAAAGCCTAATTTATGCATTTGACCACAAATGTGAAGTGTTACAGGATCTTTGATTATTTTTCATTGGTTATCCCATTCACTAGCTTCTCTCAAACTTTCTCTGTTCCCAGCATTTTTTTAATTCTTTCGTTTTACCCATCTGTTTGAAATTTTCAAAATCATGAACATAGTAATAACAAGTTTAAAAACTTAGCAAATATATTTTAATCATTCTAATAGAATCTGTGATAATCAATTATGTTAGGAGCAATTGTTTAAGCAGGTGAGAACTTTTGTTGCCCATCCAAATCTTGTGGCTTAATTAAAATAATAAATTAAATGATTGGAATCATCCCAACCTAAATAAATGAAGTACCAGCTACGGTTAGTTAAGATTGATTTAATGACCAAAAAGTAAAAATAAAACTAATTATTATTATTATCATAAACGCCAAGAAACAAATGTGATATACCTGCATCCACTTTTCCAGGCATAACAAGGACTTATTTCGATAGCAGGAGAACATATCTGATAGTAGTGAACTCTGTGGAACATATGTGATTCTAACATTCACTTCTCCATATGTAACAAGCAATTATGCAAATATAACATGATTGCAGGAGAACATAACTTTTACTATAGGATGATAGTCACAATATTTAGGCTAATCATTCATGCACCCTATTGAAAGTAGTTGAAAATAATGAAGGGAAGGAAAATAACTATGAATTATGCAAATAAAACGTGATAGTATGCAAGTCTTGTACTCTATAGAATGATATTTAGGTGAAACTTTCATGCACAGTATTGGAAGTAGTTGAAAATATTGAACAGGTTTAGGAAAGGCCAATAACAAGCGATGATGCGAATAAAACATGATAGCAGGAGAGCTTACAGGCAGGAAGGGAAGTGCGTAGTAAGCTGTTAATGCTCTGAAAGTTAAATGCTCTAATTGCACAATTCCTCCCGAGAACCAAGTGGAGCAGATTGTTGTACTCTGTGTTCCTTTTAAGAATTTTTTTTATATTTATTATCTTCTAGAAAAAGAACATATTTTTAATTTTATTTTGGAGTGTGTCTGTACAGATGACGATTTTAGGGAGTTTGTAGACCTGGTACCAGATGGTTGCCGTATAACTATTGTGTCAGATTCGTGCCACAGCGGTGGTCTCATTGACGAGGCTAAAGAGCAGATTGGGGAGAGCCATAAGAATACTGATGAGGAGCAGCAATCGGGTTTTGGACTCAAAAACTTCTTGCATCGAACCGTGGAAGATGCAATCGTGTCTCGTGGAATACACCTCCCTTTAGGATTGCGCCACCACCGTGGCCATGACAATGAGGAAGATGTTTATGACAGAGAAGTCCAAGCAGAATATGGTGATCGAGGCTATATCAAGAGCAGAGATCTGCCTATTTCAACTGTTATTGAGATACTTAAGCAGAAAACTGGTAAGGATGACATTGATGTTGGGAAGCTGCGGCCGACCCTTTTTGATATCTTTGGAGAAGATTCAAGTCCTAAGGTGAAGAAGTTCATGAAATTCATCGTGAACAAAATCCAACATGGTGATGGTGATGGCAAGGGTGAAGGTGGTGGTTTTTTTGGGATGGTTGGAAACCTAGCTCAGGAGTTCCTCAAACAGAAACTTGAAAATGATGAGGGCTATGCAAAACCTGCCTTGGAAACAGAAGTTGGCAGCAAGCAAGAGGTTTATGCCGGATCAAGCAAGCGGGCACTTCCTGACGGTGGCATTCTGATTAGCGGCTGTCAAACCGACCAAACTTCTGCTGATGCTAGTCCTTCTGGCAATGCTGACGAAGCCTATGGAGCTCTCAGTAATGCAATTCAGATCATTATCGCTAAAACAGATGGTAATGTCACTAATGAGGTGCTCGTTTCTGAGGCCAGAAAGATGCTCAATAAGCAGGGTTTCACTCAGCGTCCAGGCCTCTATTGCAGTGACCATCATGTGGATGCCCCTTTTGTGTGCTGATATGGAAAGTCTAAAGGTGTAAAGCATAAAGTAATAATTCCAGGTTTTTGTAAGTTGTGTGTGGAGTGATTGTTTCTGGTGGATATTGTCTGATAATTTTATAGGGTTTGTAGACTTGTGTGGAGTGCTCGTATTGCTTTGATGGTGGCTGATAATCTACTGGAGAACTTTCACTGATTGCAAATAAATTTTGATGCAGCCATATTGAATGATAATGCAGTGTTGCGACTATTATTAGTTACAGTTGAGCAGAATTATGCAGTACAATTTCTATTTATTTTTAATGCTTTATGTTATTACGGTCATAATTTACCAAACAAAAAAGTATTAAAGGCACAATAATTACATATCAATATTTGAAAGACTGCATAATTCTACTTCGCGGCATAGAATTTCTTTTTTTACTTCGATATTTAGGATGCATCTTTAGAAGGAAGCTAGGTTGTCTATTCTGGAGCAAGCAACCAAGTTTCCCACTGGTGCTTGCCCTTCAAAGTTCAAATGGTACCGTTGTTTGAACATGAGCTTGTTCTTTTAAGTCCAAAGAGATGCTCAAGAGCAGAATTTCACTCCACATCCAGACGCAGGACGGTATTGATAATTTTCTAGGTTTTCTGTAGGTTGTGTACTGTGCAGTGCTTGTTAAATAAAGTACTGTTTGGTAATTTTCCAGGGCTTTGTAGGCTCCGTGGAGTGCCAGTATTACTTCAATGCTGTTAGATAATCCCCAAAGCTCAATCTTCCAAATGACTAGTTCAGTGCTTGACCTTTCCAACATATTTGAGTAACTCTGAATGAATACTTTGTATTTCAACTATAAATGGATGACATCGTATCGTTGTAACTGTGGTACAAGTTGATTGCAGCAGAACTATTCAGTACAACTATCAATTGTTATTTGTTTTCCATGATACTTCTCATAATTTATCGAAAAAAATATGACAAAAAATGGAGCCAAAAAATTACACATCAATATCAGTGAGACTGCACAATTCCATTGCGCGGTGCAGAATTGATTCTTTAATATTTTCAATTTGATGCTTGCGCTGGTTCTCCCGGAGAGGAACTGTACTGTGTGCATCCATTGTGTGCACCAAATACTGACCGGTTCACTTTGAGGAAAAAGGATAATGAAGCGACCAGATAATAGCTATAATTAGTCAACACTTGAGCAGAAAGAACCTCCATAGTTCCATCTCAATCATCAATATCTTGAACCCATGCTAAATCTGCCAACAAGATGTTAAAGGCAAAATAAGATTTATTCCCCATGGTAAGAATCTATAAGAATCTTTATACAAGATAATTTTAATTAAAAATTGTAAATCATAAATCCAACAGCACTGTATTCAACTCAACAAGGCCTTGATCCCTTTCTTTATTACTTAACATCACTGTATACTACTAGTTAGCAATGACAACAAATCACTATGGTTAATAAGCATTTAGTGTGACCAAGGGCTTTGGCCTAGTGGTACTTCCTCACCTTCCAAAAGTAGAGGGTCAAGGGTTCAAGTCCCCATAGGGGGTAAAGTGTGTGTGAGTGAGTTTCTTGCCAAGGTACGAAAAGAGGGGTAAAACAAATAACATATATATATATATATATATAGTGTGCACTTGCACATATGAGAGATAAAGAGAGAACCTTGAAGCACGGATCCAACCGCTGCATTTGGGATAAGAAGCCCAACAATTCGCTGATTATCTGTAGTCGTCTCTATACGCACAATACGGATTCGTTTATGGCTTTGACGGGCCTGTAGAGAATATTTGAGGTTCAATCCTATAACCGATGAATGTTTAAAAATCACTTGCATGGTGAAAGAGAAAGACATGGTATGGCAAAACAATTTTCGGTCTTTAGTGAGCCACGTGATATTTAGTAATTTTCTCAACTTTAGCTTATACTACACTATCCAGAAAAATGATTCAAGGTAGCATCCCACCCAAAATGATAATGCATCAAGAGATGGAGCATGGGAAGATCCACCCACAATGACATGCAACTAGTGGTGAAGCGTGAGAAGAAAAAGTAATGGTGAGACTTGACAACAAAGCAATTGGAAGATTCCCAGAGGAAAATTCTGTTTCCTGTCTCTCTACCAGACTCCCACGTAAGAGGGACTAGCAGTGGGTAATGGCCCTCACAGGAAACTTATAAAAGTGAATTACAAATAGGAAAATAGTAGGGCTTGTATTAAACATTTAAACTATACAACAAACTTGCACAAATTACACAAACAACTAAAGAATCAAAGGAGGTCAAGCTACCTGCTTAGAAAGGGCCTTCTCAATAGTTCCCCAAACAGGAAGAATGAGGCCACCCAAAACATTTACTTCTTGTAGTCTTCTGCCAACCGTACAGAAGTTGGCAAGCTTACAATTGGGCCCATGCATGCACTGCAGGACAAGGTAACAGTCAGCTATGGAAACATGTAAGCCAAGGTAGCATCCACAACAAAACAAATCTACCAAAATGCTTAATCAACAGCAACAGTTAATTATAAAATGAAATCATTTAGCACACCTGCCTCCAGTAACTTTAAAGTGAAGTGTGCGAAATTTCAAATCTTTGCTTTCAGTTAAGCAGGAAACAGTATGAAAAATCTACGAAACTGGTTTTTATATAAATTTCCCAAAGCTTTAAAATAATGAAACCACAAGCATAGGTTCTATAAAAACCAAGCCTTCCATCTCAACTTTTGCACAGTTCTATTTTTGCAAAACAGTGATGGCCTCTTTGTCACATGCAAGTGACAGCACCAACTTGCCACTAGATCAAAACTAGTATTCTTGATCACATAACACCAGAAATCAAGTATTGATTAACTATATTTTCTCCTTAATTCTCTTTAATCTCTCTTTCAGAAATTCTTATTGATTATAACTATATTATTCTCCATGATTTTCTCCTTTAAAATATTGTAGGTACAAATTATGTACTCTCTCTCAAGTCAATTGTAGAGAAACCACCTTATTGACCTTATAATGAACCCACACAATAGAAATCATCGGCGCTTTCTTTTCCATGTGGCCTTAGGCGTTCGTCTTAATCACCATTAGGCGGAGCGGGAGCTAATTAAAATTGTACAACGGTTACCTAGAATCAGAACATAAATTATTGTAACAGAACAACTTGGCTACAATCTTCCTCCATAATACCAAAGAACTTACCACACTTGAAATCATATTAGAGTTGAACCAACTTAATCAAACTTAGCAATCTTATAAGCAAGAGAGGAGAAGGCAAACTGGGTATGAATATTGAATAAAAAACATAAAACTTATTTTTAACATTAGATATGCTGAAGTTAGACATTCTATTTTTTTCTATAGATGCCACGTATGAAGTCACACAACATAACACTTTTTAGAATTGAAAGAGAGAATTTTTATAGAATTATTCCAGGTTAGCTTTGATAATGAGCTGATGAGCCATCAAATTCTTATTAGTGAGTTTAAAACAAATAAAACAAAATCTTTAAAAGCTATGAAATCAACAAACATTTACTTAAGGTAAACACAAGATCTGTAAACATTGAATGATTTTACTTTCTTTTAACAAAATCATGTTACATTAACCACTGTTGACAATATTGCACTAATTTCCATATACATATATGTGTAAACCAAAATGAAATAACCATTTACACCATTTTCCTGCATCCTTGTATGAAATTGATATCCTTATACGAATAAGTTCATCAAGGATTCATATACCTGTTTAGATGAAACTTCATATTCATCTTCCCAACCATTACGTGCCTTCTCTAAAGATGATATTTTTCTGTACTTGTTTTTCAGTTCCTTTAGAGGCATCTCCCTGGAGATCGAAAGAAAAGAAGAGAGTGCATGTAGTCTTTTATACTACTTAACCTAATGAAGCTTGATAATTATTTTTTCTGATACCTCAGTGCCTCCCCAACAGCAGGACGGAATATATTGTACATTCCAGAAGCAGAACTGAAACACATTATGGAAAAGAATCAATGAAAGCAGTGAGTCGAGCAGGAGGGTCAATCATCAAAAGATATCATTTTACACCAAGGATATTAATGTTGAAATATATATCATAAGAATCTAAAATTAATCATGGGAAAGGAATCAAAATGATCAGAACTTATATGAAGCTAAAATGGCATCATAAAACAAAGGAAAACTCCAAAAGAGAGAAATCTCATGGTGCTCTTAGTTAAGTAGCACTGAAACTACCAAAGAGATACTCTATCTGGTAATGAAATCTGGCATCAGAAACTACACACTATGACACATCTAAACATGTGTTATAGGACATGATCCATAAATGACCATTTTTTAAAAAAATATAAGTAATATCTTTCTTGGACATTGAACATGTGTCAAGATGGGTCAAACACGAGAAACTACTAAAGAGATGCTCTGTCTGTGATGGAAGTTGCAGCAGAAACTACACATTTTGACACATCTAAAAATGTGTTGTATTTCATGATCCATATAAATCCAAAAATAGTAAATAAATAAATACATTCCCTCCGTCCCATTTTAAGAGTCCCTTTTTGGGAACCTAACTTTTTAAGACACGGCTTTCAATTTTTTTTTATTGTATTGGTAGTGAATGAATTACCAAATCTATTCATGGTGGGTTCCCAGTGATGAGATGATGCTTTAAATTTAATTGTTTTTACAAGTTCAAGAAGGGTAAATTGGGAATGTTGTAAAATATAGTACATTGACTTTTGAATTGGGACAATTATTTTGGGATGGCTAAATATGGAAAGGTGGACACTTATTTTGGGACTGAGGGAGTATATAATGCCTTTCTTGGACATTGAACACATGTAAAGATGGGTCAAACATGCAGTGGACACACAAGGATGCATTGTTTTGTTTTAATATGAAATGAGAATTCAATTATAAGGGAAAAAAACATACAAAAGAAATGAGCAGCAGTAGAAGCAATGGGGGTGGTAATAGGAGGATAAAGATACAAATTATTGATTGATTTACATTGATACTTGTACTAAATTGATAATATCATTGCCATCCTTTTTTCTTTCTTTCTTTTTTTTTTTTTCTTCAAAACAATGTGCATCATATAGTCATATGTTAGCAAATTTCTACACAAAACTTGGCTGAAGTTGAACAAAATGTCAATGAGTTGATATATCTGTAATGGAAGATAATAAAGATACAGCAGCAATGAAGATTATATGGAAAGTTTAGCAAACTTAATTACATGGTTAAGTAAAGGTAAGTAAAAAAATTAGCGGACAAAGGAATCTAGGTTAGAATACCAATTAGATAGTTGACTAACCATGACCTAGGTATTAGAGCATTAAAAACGCATTTGAGTTGAAATAATCATGAGACTCATATCAGAAACATTCAATAGAATGAACCTATGAAGAATGTCAAATCTCCAATTGTCAAAAAGTAATACTTGGATTGCATTCATCAAAATTTATTCTCTCGGACAAGTTAAGCAATTTTTCGTTGGTAAAATTACAATGTAAGCAGGGTTGCTGCATAGCCAGTATAACTCTTCATCATTAATTTGATTAGACTTTTGATGTAAAATTCTATGAAAAATTCAAACGGAGAAAAAAAAAAAAAAAAAAGGTTACTACAGCATCCAGGTTTCATACCCTTCAAATGCTAAAAGAAAGTGACGTCTTCCCAACCATTCCCTTTTAGATTCATAGAATCCATCATCAGCGGAACCAAGACCATCCTTTTGCTTCTCATCAAGCAAGGCAGATGCAGCCTACATATAAATAAACAAGTTATAAATGTGGGGTTTATCAAGACGTAAAAGACAATTTATCCACTTTAGTATTAAATTAAAAAATAAAATAAAATACCTCCCATGTGATTCCACGATTCATTGTGAAAGTAAAGAGTACAGTGGATGCCCCAGACATGTGATCAACATGAACAGTCTGCAAAAATAGTAAGTAAATAGACGTGAGGATGTAATTATATATATATTTGCACAATGTGAAGACCACGAGAGCTCCAAAAGAACATAACCTTTGGAGTTCCTTGTAGCTCAATAATATTAGCTTTCATATCAACAATCCCGGAGTCAAAATGTCCTTCAATGCGTGCATTTTGAACAAGATGGTCAAGTATGTTGACAAATAACTCAAAGAGCCTGTATTTAAAGGGTGGTGTGTATTGTTATATTGCTAACATAAATGAAACAAACATATTAAATTTCAACCAAAAAAACCAAACCTATTCTGGATCTCTGGTGGCAGCCCTAATAGTCGATTGAGGAAACGTCCAACATCGTGCATGTCTGAATCAACTATACGGCCAGAAATCTTTCCAAAATCCTTCCCATTACCTACAACAAATAATAGCAGCCTGAAAAGTTATTATCAAACATCATCAAATGATAGCTAAAGGTTTACATACTAAGAATGACACTGCTTTAAAAAAACAAGAATTAAGAATTGTAAAACTAAGTAAGATAAAAACTAGGATTTAATTAGTTGAACTATAATATGAAAGAAAAAAAAAAAAAAAAATCAAACAGAACTATTAACAAATTTATTCTACTCAATTGTAATGTGATAATAATGACGAAAAGAATACCAAGAACTGTTTCTCTAACTATTCCAACAGAAACAAGAGCTGCTCTTCCCTTGACAATAAAATCTCGGATAGTATCTGGTTTTTCATATGAACAACCTGGTGGTACAACTGGCAGAGAATCCTGAAAGCCAAGAATTAGGTAAAGAGAAGGGAGGGGGAGAGAGAAGCAAATATGAGGTGAATATGACACATTACAACACAAAATGGAGAAAAAAAAAAACCTGCTCCATGATTCCTCTATACAACATCGTCAGGGCCCTCTTTCCATAAGCACTATCATAATTATAAGCACTCAGAGTTGGTCCAGCCCTACAAAATATCAACAGCACTAGGATTGAGAACATACTGGTTTGACTACAATGTTACAATTCATAACTATTGAGCTTTATAAGGACATGAAAGAAAAATCCAGTTTACCTACGATCTCCTTGTGTTAAGGCTCCAAGAGATTCTAATCTCTTGGCAACGATGGATGCAAACCGGCGTTCACCACCTAGATTAGTAAAGAGTAGCCTGCATAGCATAAAGAAATTTTTATATGAATTTGACAGACTTGTTAATCAAAGAAAAAAAATTTGTTTCATCACATCTATTAACAAGTATAATACTGTATGGCATCTCAATGTATCAGTTTATGATACCCTTGGCTTACATATAATTCCATAACTAATAGTCCCTTCATCCCACAAAAAGTGTCCACCTTTCCATTTTTTGCTGTCCCAAAATAATTGTCCCAACTCAAAATCCAATGTACTACTTTTTTTTTAATATTCCTAATTTATCCTCCCTGCCTTGAATTTATAAAAGCACGAGGACCCACCATAGAAGGGTATATTTGAAAATTTCATTCCCTACCACTATAATAAAAAATAAAAAAATTAAAAACTACACTCTTAAAAAGTTAGATTCCCAAAAAGGGACATTTTATGTGGGACGGAAGGAGTATCAGTTAAAGAATGAATGAAGCTGTGAAATAGGAGATCCTTTGTATAATGGGGAAGCAAGTTGGAGATGCTTGGAGGATGGCCCCTCTTTGTTTGTGGTGGTGTATTTGGTGGGAGAGGAATAGGAGATCCTTTGAAGGGGAGGAGACTCTTATTTGGACTTTGAAATTCTTTATACTAAGTTCCTTATTTTTTTGTATTCATGATACATTTTGTAAATCATTGAAGGATCTCCTGGCTTTTGTGCTTTATATAAAACATAGACCAAACAAGCTTTATGAAATAGAATATTGGACATCTGTGGATATAAAGACAGAGATGTGTTAAACGACACGAAAAGATAGAATTGGACAAGATTACACTCATTGAACGGTTGCTTAGTATTCATTGGAGATGAAAATCAATTATGATGGTTGTTCATGTGCACCAAAGACTACCAAGTAGTAAAAGCAGCGTTGAGGAAAAGTGACTTGGATCAAATTGAAGGTGATGCTAGGGAAGACAAAGCCAAAATCAGCATGGATTGAGACATCAAATAAAGATATGATAGCTTGTGATTTAACTGAAATTATGTCATTTGATAGAGAAGAATATCAAAATAAGGAATACTTGTAACCAGCCCCAACTGGGACAAGGTTTAACTGATTTGAGTTGAGTTGATAAATCCATCCCAACATTCTCCTCCCATCCACTATTTAGTTTATGGATCGGATAGAGCAGCTTGCCCCGAAGCTTTTCAAGTCTCAGCAGATTCGATGTACAGGGATAGAGTATATTAGGGCGCTTAAGATAACCATGTCCAATGTGGGAATCGAACTGCAGTCAGAAAGGACCCATCGCCTTGCCATTGTCCCCCTTCCCTCGCTTCTGTAGCAACTGTTATGGACATGTTTCCTAAGGGCCAAGCATCCTGAAGCCCAAAGCATTTTGGTCTTATAACAGCCTCATAAAATTCTCTCACTAATTTATTATATTTCTTCTTGCTTAACAATTTTCAATTTAACTTGATAAGTATAGGAGTCCTACAGAACATTGCACAAGCACTTCTGCACGTTTTTATCCAGCAATTCCATAGGCAACTTCATGAAAGATTATTAGTTCAAGGGCCGGGTAGCACTTTGCAAATTAATCTAGCTAAATATGGAAATAGATAAAAAAAAAAGGCATATGCTGCATACATGCATACAGTATCGTTGTTGGCTCTCAAGTTGGGTCAAGCCAAAATATCGCCCATGATCAACCCAGCACAATGTTTCCATTTGATCTTAGTGTGTTTAAGCTGTATTAAAGAAATGTTGTTCTGATCCCAAAAATCAAATTTTTAACTACTGAGCAACAAAAAATAAGCACAACAATCTTATGAGTCAATTGAATATTCCTTTTAACACAAGTTTATTACCACAGCAACTTTTAAACTCCCCCAAACCACAAATATAAAATAAAATAAAAATAGATTCATAATTAAATATGATGTTAAAAATTTAATGCCAAGTCTACCTATACTCGGGTGCAGAAGCTTGATTTGACCGGTGAGTTCTTCCAAATTGTTGAATCGCTCGGTCTGCACTCCAAGGCAGTTCTAGAGTTAAATGAACCCTTCTTTTCTGGCATAAGAAAAGCCAAATGGTAATAAATAAGAAACGAAGTCAACTCGAAACATTTGGTTTACCAAAATACATATTTCTTCATATTTAGGTACAAGTTCAGTACTTTACTAAAAAATGCACAGAAGCGTCATACTCCAGATACAACAATGAAATTATGACATAGGGATGTAAAATATTATCACAAAACTATATACCTGATTAATTGCCCTTCTATCTGCCTGCAAAGAAACACCAGCAGATCCAGCCTCAGAAATAATTGCAACCAGCTTCTTACCATCCATGAAGAGCTGCTTCTCATGCATATTGACCATTTCCATAGTCACATCCTTTCTAAATTAACATAAGAGAGTGTAATTCATCCAGTACGAGATAAAATAAAATACCATTTAAATGAAACAAAAATGCCTAAACTCACGTGTTCCGTGCCTGATAAGTGACACCTTTTCCATGAGAGGCCCTAACAAGCATGCCTCGCCTCCCTGTCATTTCTGCAACTTTGTCAGGGCCGCCAAGCTGCAAAAACATTCACATGTCATCAAAAGAAAGAGCTAGGACAGAAACATGTAATTAAGAATTATGAGCTCAACCAAGTGAAAACTGATATGTACATATAAATAAAGAGAGAGAGTAGATCCTTTAGCAGTTACCTGATCAATAATATCATCCAATGGATTGTTTGGAAGATCCAAAGAACGAATTATCTCCAAAATTTTTGACTTACGCTCCATAGCACCTTCATATCTACATTCATGTTTATAATGTTTATTAAAACTTGTAACACCGCAACCCCATGACCAACAAAAAGCAAGACATAATATTACAAAAACAATAAACCATAGTGGAAGTGACATTCACTTATCTGAAAATTGACCTCTTTGTCCTGCACATTAGTCCACAAAATTTTAAAAAAAGAAGTCATTTCTTTATTAGTTTTTTTGTTTTCTTTTGGAGCCAATCCATTTACCAACAAAGCTCTATCCAAAGACCTCAAAGCTCTATCCACAGACCTCGCCATCTCCTTGTCATTTATACTACTGTCATTCTACAATATTGCCCTTTGAACATATGACCTAAGGAAATTCCAACTCCCCCCCCCCCCCCCCCCCCCCCTTCTTCCCTTCTTTTTCTCCCCAAAAACCAAAACAGAAAAAGGAAAAGGATTCACATTGTAAGACTATCAATCTACAGAATGTCATTGCAATGTACCAATTATATCTAATGAAATTTTACAGACCGAAAGAGAGAGAGAGAGACACAGAGAAATTTGGACTTTGGAACCGAATATGTCCCTTTCAATTATTGTAAAATTATCTTCTTTTTTTTAAGTCAATTATTGTAAAATTATCAAAATACCATAGCAATATAAAGCTAAATCCATATGTACCATAACAAAAGAAGCAAGTACTCTTAGAAAGGTGAAAGTGATTTCTACCATCACAGCTGCATTCTTATTTCTAGTAAAATACAAAACTCTCACAATTCACATCAGGGATTAATGGACTCTTCTACTTCATGTTTGAGACGCTTTAACACTAACGGTGAATTAAGCACAATTATTTTGTTTAAAATCAGAGCTATTCGTGTACCAATCACTCCAGCCACAAGTTTCATAGATTGAGTCTTGAACTCACATACTAATACAGCAGGTGAAGGACCAACTAGTAATATATAAATTGGATATAAAATGGATCACTTATTATATATGAACACCTCTTCAATAATTCTGCCAAGTAGGCATGCCTGGCTTGGAGATATTCATCTGTTTTTTCCTTGCAGGAATGACAGGACCAATCCCCAGATACTGCATCTACTACAGGTGGGACTAAACATGCAGCATGGACAAGTTGACGGCAACAGGAACATTGGAGCAATTTCTTTCTTTCCTGCATCGGAGAATATCAATGATAGTAATATATGTTATCATTCAACCTATATAAACAGGTTTAAGGATTAAGAAAAGAGAGTACCTCTTCAGAATTGCAAATTTCACAGATTTGAAACTCGTCATCAGATTCAGTAGATTCGTGTTCAGAATCAGCTGCATAATCAAACAGAAACTTAGCAATAGAAAGGTAATCAATAAGTAATCTCTCTACCAACAAAAGAAAGACAGTATGAGCAATGAAATCATCTTAAAAGGCAACAAATCAAGGAACAAGTTCATTAAACAAAGAGGCCCAATAGTAATACCGGTGCATCCTAATAAGATAACAATAAAATTCAAATGAAGTATCACATGATAACATATAAAATACTATTTAGACAGTAATGAAGGTAACAAAGATATAATAGTGCACAAAAAGTGGAGGAGGAAACAAAAGAGTACAGATTATGTAGCTGAAAAAACTATATGATAATATGGCAGAATGTGATCAGCTGGTAAATGCAATGGATCTGTCATGTCCTCTTCCAAGAATCTTACTTTCAGATTCTTCATCACTTTCACCATCACTTGAAGCTTTCCATTTGGCAATCTTTCTAACTCTGCCTTTAAATGAAACACCAGGGGTTGCAGAGTGCCTCTTTCTCTGAAGCTCCTTTACACTTTCCTCTCCTATGACATAAACAAAAAGAGAACTTTAGTGGCATCAGGAAGAGAATTGAGCCAGAAACAATAAGATATAACCATATATATACCTGGGAGTGATTCAGGTTTTTCAGGCAAAGGATAATTTTCTTCAACAAATTTTAGCAAAAGCTCACGAGGACCCGAGATAAAATCATCAAGTTCAAGACCCTGTTAAATACGTAACAAAGGTAAGAAAAAGATCATTAAGAATATCAAGCAACACAAATTACATAAGATAGAGATGCTGCAGGTTCATAGGGGCCACTGCTTTGCGCAATGTGCAATGGTAAAAGCTCGGATGACAAGCATGAGGATATGGTTTCAAGTCTAAGACCAGACACTTTGTGCAACATCATAATAAATGTTAGATCTGTCTTCAGTCTTCCCCTCCCTACATCCAGTATAGGCAGGAGTAGCACTGTGTAATGGCCTTAATGCTATAGAAGCATGTTCCCTCATTTCTGTTTGAATAAGTACGCAAACATCACAGCACAGAAAAACAAAAAACTCACATATTTTGTCACGGCTTCCTCAGTTCGTGCCTCTCCTGTACTCTGAAGGCCAACGACCACACACTTATTTTCCATCAATGCTTGCTTAGTAAGTCTTACAACAGCAGGCACCTTAGCTGACATACACATGTGTCTAAAGAAACGCTACAATAGCACAGAAACAACAAAAATGAAACAGATAAAAGAAAGAAACCATAAAAGTGAAATCTTATATACAATATTCAAATATTTTATCGTCATTGACTAGAAAATCATGAACCTGATGGCTTGCCCAGTATAGACGCCACAACTGACTAGAACTAGGTTTCTCATTGGTAAGAAATGCACTTGCAGATAGCAATTCCACCCGCAATTCCGCCCAAACTTCAGCTGCTTTCTTATACATCTCCTGTGAATAATGCAATACCAGGTGAGAAAATTTAAAGGCTCACTAGAAAATCCGGTGCAGCAAAAATAATGATGCATGACCATTAAATTAAAAAAATAGGTGAGTAAAATTTATTAGGAAAAAAAAAAAGGACAAAGAACTCTACAAATACAGGGGCATACCTAGGATAAGGCAAAGAGAGACCCTAAATAGGAGGACCAAGGCCCAATGACCCTCAAACAAAACTAAAGCAGCTCAGCATAAAATAATAATAATAATAATAATAATAATAAATAAATAAATAAATAAAAAAGAGCAGCTCAGCATAACCATGTAAACTGAAAATACAACTCATAATGCACACTTGTGCTGGAACTCGGTAAAATTTTCAGTGGGGTACATCATTCCATTTAGCTAGTCATGCATTATGCACGATTCAGGATCAGTATCATCCAGAAACCTAACTGAAGGAGATCAGGATGCATTTTGCACTTATGTCAGGCACAGACAGACATTTTATTAGGATTACCTTTGTAATTCAAATTTTAGGATTTTTTTATTTATTTGGTATTTTCTTTTATTTAGTTTTTAGGTTTTACTTTTAACCGTATGTAACATAATTATGTAGCTTTGGTTGTTTCAGATCTCTTGTGTTCTTCCTCCATTGAACTTGCTCTTCTCAACCCCTTAGTCTATCTAGCTTCGTCTTTTCAGTCTCTTTCTCATCCCCTCCGTCTATGTTATCCCCCTTTTTTCTTCTAGCCTCATCTCCTCTTCTACTTCTCACTCCATTCTTTCATTCTGTTATCAAAGAAAAAGATCCAAGTTCAGAGCAAAACGATCCTAGACTATTTAGAGCAAAAGAAAGTTTTTGTTGATCACTGTCAATTGCCTTTCACTTTCCACATCACCATCACTCTTATTCACTAACCCCTAACGTCCACAAATCCTAACCGCACCACCTCTCGTCCTTGTCCATCATTGGCAACCCAATCACAAAATCCACTAAACTATAAAAAGCTAAAACTGTAAGCCATAGCTGTTCATCAACCACTACATTACCCTGCTCTTCTGATCACCTCATTAGAACCACTTAGGGGTGGCAATTCATGTTGGTGGGTTATAATCGTGTCGTGTCAATCTATGAATTTTCTGCTAAACAGGTCAACCCAAACACGACCCGTTTAATAATCGTGTCAGAAACCCTCCACATGAACACGAACCGTGTAACCCGTTTAATAAGCAGGTCATGTAATGACACGACTCGTTGAATGACCTGTTTAACTTAAATGGGTCATGGACACGTTAATTAAAGTACAAAATGTAAGTATAATGAAAAAATTGAGATGATGGATGACTAAATTCATGAAAACAAGAATAATTGGGACAATACAATTACAAAAAAAAAAAAAGGGCTACATACAACATCCACATTGGATTTATATTGAAATAATAGAAATGCCCATGGTAATTGGGTTAAGACATATTACGAGTTAATCAGGTTTACCTAATATAATTATGACATGATTAATCAAACAGGTCTAATCGGGTTAAACGGGTTGAGCTCCAAATTATGAACACGACACGATTAATTAAATGGGTTGACACGATAATGACACGAACACAATTAAGGTCAACCCAAACCTGCTAATTTGGTGTCGTGTTAGCGGGTCGTGTCGAATTTTGCCACCCCTAGAACCAGTACCAACCATCTCAAGATCCAAAACACAATCATCAGCAAATCTCTTAAATCGTACCCCATCACTGTTCATCAACCACTACATTACCTGCTCTTTCTCATCACCCCATCAAAACACAGGACCAACCATCTCAAGATCTAAATGCAATCATCGACAAACCCTAGATCTGCTGAAAATAAATAAATATAGGAAAATCAGCTCCATTTAAGCACCCATACACAAACAATGGTCTTGTTTTCATCATTGTTCCTGAGTTTTGCGAGGTCTCCCTTAACAGCTTCAGCAATATCTTGTTGAAGGTCATGGCAACTTTAGAATTCTTCATAGTTCCATAAGTCTTCAGCAACGGGATCTTCCCAAATCCAAGGAATCCCCAGCTCGATCTGGGTTAGTAACAACATGATCATGTTTCCGTTCTTAAATATATGATTACAGACCAAATCGGATCTTTCCTCCATTGCTCCCTTATTGTTCTTATTATCAAACCTCTGTTTTCTGCTATTAGAATGCACAATCCCGAATCAATAATAGGGTTTGACTTTGGTCATATTGAAGATGATGACAGGTTGTTTCTCTCATTCCAAATGATTTATATAGTTTCAAGGGTACAGAATCTCCATTATCATTTCCATTTTAAACCTCCAAAACATAAAGGATGCAGTAAAAAAGTCAACCAGTAGCATCGAGAAGTTGAGAACCCAACCATTACACCAATGCTGAAGAAAAAGGACCAATTCTCTCCACAAAAGGATGGAGCAAGAAAAGATAATCAACAGTTTGCCCCACAAATGAGGAAATTATTCACTTATGGAGCAACCTCAGAACATTTCAAAGATGTCAAACAAGACAATTTCATACAGGTAAGGGCAATGTTATCAAATCATAGACAATCTTTCACACATATATTATAAATCTATATATATAATAGATAAAAGATGTATTCATTTCTTTCTATCCATTTTTTTTTAGAATTATAGGCAACATACATGCATTATTGTACTTGTTTTAGTAAATGAAATTGTCACTAGGTAACGGCAAAAAGGGAACACCTGTGTACAGTTAATGGTATACTAAAGGCAACATATCTTCTCGAGTCAACTAGATCTTTACAAAAGAATCAATGAAAATAAAAGACCTCTCAGTTTTCCAAAAAGATAGGGAGCTCAACTTCCAAAGCTTAGATTAAGAACGACAATTCCACTCCAAAAGGTTGCCTAATTCTCTCCTCCTGAATACTGCACCATAACCAAAGATGGAGCTCTCTACCACAGTACCTATGGCTCGTCATCCAATCTACAATACCTCCAACTGGAAAGAGCATCAGCCGCCCATCTACTTATGGTGCGCGGAAAGGAGGGGCCTCAAATCCCTGGCCACTGGAGGATACAATAAATGACTACTACATGCTATGGTGCCCCAGGGCTGGAATGCGGTAGGGTCTTCATTCCTTCTGCACATATAAGATCAATTAACTGTAAAATACCTCTCTTTACCATGTTATTAATGTTGAGAACCCTCTAAACACCGCTGTCCAACTAGAAAATCCTCCTTCGAAGGTGTTCTGGTAGGCCACATAACCTTCCAAAAAGAACCAGGATGACTTCACCTCCTCCCCCATAAGGAGTGTCCCATAAAATGATCTCAGCTCAAACTTATCCTCCACTCAAAGAAGGCCCCTACAGCATCTACCACATACAGCCTTCCAAAAACGAACTGGGGTGGCCACACTCCCCACCCCCCCAGCCCCCCCCCCCCCCCCCCCCCACAAGGGACGACCATCATCAATAGACTGGCATGAAGGCCGCTACCGCATCTAGATCCTGATCTTGCATCAGCATGAAGAAGCAAATAAACCAAAGCCTATAGGTTTGGTTTTACATACTTGTATCTTCACTCCCAACAGAATTATCTTCCTCAGTTCCCTTTCTAAGTGCACTTCTTCATTTATCAAAAATACCAAAATAAATAGGTTAACAATGACTTTCCTATATCATCTGAAGAAAGTGCACATTTCAAAAAAAAAAAAAATTAATACAAAAAGAAATAGCAAGCTCTGTCAGGGTTATAAATGATCAACAAAGCAGGCAACTAACCAACTGAGCTTTACCAGGGATATTTAGACCAATATCAACTTCCAATATCCCAAAGCAAATTAAGAAGATAAAAGGGTGAAACCATGAAAGAAACCATTTTTTTTTTAAACTTCAGTCCCACATTACTTTGAGGACTAGAACCTGCTGTTAGTACTGCAATATACTTTAGCTGTAACTGAAAACAGTTTTATATGCAGTTTAGCCTTGCACATTAGTTCAAGATACATAAAGAAACAAGCACCGCGAGAATAGAAATATAATCACAGTAAGCAAAAATAACCAATTAGAAATAGAACACTAATCATAGTTTTTTTTTTTCCCAAATAGAATAGCAGACAGAGGGCTTATACCATCATTTTGACCTCTATCGGTACTTCAACAACATCGAACTCTGCTCCTTCGTAGCTAAGTGTCCGACATACATACATTCCCCTGCCAGGTGAAACGTGATGTAAATTGATATAGCAGCATACGGTACAAATCATTTCATATGCAAATTCTAAACCTCACAACCTTGCTTTCATGTCCATAGCAACAAGTTCTAGTGCTCCAACACCCCCTTTTTCTAGAGCAACTGCAAAAAAAAAAAAAATCCAGGTAAAATACACACAATTAGATAACTTTTGCACAAGAAACAAATGTATTTGAATTTGGGGGGAAAAAAGTATTTACGGTGACAAAAAGTAGAGATGGAATAAGATTTTTATGATCAAGCTAACCAAATCTAAGTTGAAGAATGTTGAAATATTTATATATTTCTATTGTTGAAATATATAAATATTTCTATATAATTGTGATGAAATATAAAAATTTATATATTTCAACAAAGAATGTACAGATTCATGATTAATCCGCAAGGAAAAGAAAAAATATGTAACCATAGGAAGCACATAATTTCTAAACCCAAAACTATAGATTGTAGCCTTCTACTGAAAACCCCAACAGAAATTGAGAAATTACGGTGTGCAGTTTAACTAATTACAGAACAGACGGGAAAATGGGAAAAGATAAAAAAGAAAGCAGCACATACAAATGTATTATTAGGAGAAAAGGAGCAATATCACAAATGGCACAAGATCCTTAAATTGGCGGCTTTGAGTGCAGTTCTAACATTGTTCTAAGTTCTACATGTTCACTCACAACAAATTTTAAGGTCATAAAAACGATGAAGATCCTTTTTCTAAAGAAGTTATCAACAATTAAGAAAAATATACAACTCAATTATTCAGGTGAAGATATGGCCAAACAGTATTCCGCTGATTCTATCATTTATGATCCTGAATTAACATTCACCGTGTTTCACAAAAATTAAGAAAATTAAAATGCTAACAGGTGTCACTTAGAGAGAGAGAGAGAGAGATTCACATTTCACTGTACTTAAGCAACCATACTAATTTTATTAACCTCCATAGTACCTTACCGGGACAAAAAAATACGTAACAATTCATTGCAGAATAAAGGGAAGGAAGAAATACTCTAACTAGAATTCGAAGCCAGAAAGATAAATTAGAAAGAAAAATAAAAAATAAAAAGAAGTCATTTTATAATTCCAGAATCCAGACAATATATATCGCACCTAAAAAATCACGGAAATCAATGAAACATGTTCCAGCTCCCCAAAGACCAAGCCGAACCATATAACCCATGTTGCGAGGTTCTGATGCACCAGTTGCGGAGCAATAAATAACACGAGCTTCAGGAAGTCGAGCCTGTTAAAAATTTGGAGTGAACAGTCAAGAGCACCCAATAGACCCATGCAAAGACATCTCACAACAGGAACTCACAAACTTGACTAGTTAAAATAATATGAAGCTAGGCAGCAATTGGCAATGAAGAGAAGAAAAACAAAAGCAATAAAAACCCTAATAAATTCCAAAACTAAAGTACTCAAGGTACCAATTTCCCTATATAAGACTCACCAGTTAATGCCCATCTGAGCCAAAAAAGACACTATACAAGCAACTAGCAACTCATATTTGCAAAAGAAAAGGTGGATCTTTTGGTGTACGCTCCATTACGACGGACAGCAATCACTGGGAAATTTTGGGATAATATATTTCGTCAAAAGATCAAAATAGAATGAATTACATATAGCTGGTGTGGCCCCAGAGGAAGATGGCATACAGAATCTCCCATCTTAACCAAATCTAGGAATACAGTTCCAACTCAAGTCAAGTTTGTAATAAATGAAAAGATGAACAATCAAGCAAAAACTGTATCACATGCACTAAGATTCACGTGTCACGTAAGGGTATGTCTATTAGCTGGATTTATTAATCCTCAAATATTATGGCACAGGTTGAATTGTAGTGGTTCCAAATATTTTTCTTAATAACTAAGGGCAAAAGGATGTGGTTACATAATAAAGTCCCTAATGCGAGTACTACTCTCTTAAGGAGAACATACCAGGAAAAGCATCCAATGGTAATTCTGGCATATTAGGAATATCTTCCACCCATCATACCAGTGTCGTGTCGGACATATCCCATGGCCATGTCCTACATGTATAATTCACAATAGAAAATGGGTGGAAGATATTCCTAAAAAAATAAATGCTTAACTGCCCAATAGAATAGCAAGCTAATAGCTCCACACTTGAAACTTTCAGAAATTTAAGGTGGATTATTAGAGATGTGTGGGGAGCTGGGATCCGGTTGTGGATAGATTTGAGAGGAAGTTGGCGGGTTGGAAAAAGTAGTACCTTTCCAAGGGGGGTCGGGTTACTCTGATTAAGAGCACCCTTTCTAGCCTTCCTACTTATTTCATCTCTCTGTTTCAGATTCCCTCTTCAGTGGCGGAGAGAATTGAGAGATTGCAGTGCAACTTTCTTTGGGGCGGGGGGGGGGGAAAGGAGAGGAGTTCAAGTATCATCTAGTTCGGTGGGATCAAGTGTGCCGACCAATTCGGTGTAGAGGCTTAGGGTTAAGGAGGTTGTTGCCTTTCAATAAGGCTCTCCTTGGTAAATGGCTCTAGAGGTTTGGGATTGAGAGGCATTGGCTTTGGAGGAGAGTTATCGCGAATAAGTTTGGGGAAAGCAGTGGTGGGTGGTGCTCTCTTGTGTTGCGTGGTCCAAGGGGGGTGGGGGTTTGGACTTACATTCGGAGGGGTTGGGATGATTTCTGCAAGCATGTTCGTTTTCGGATCAAGGATAGTAGGAGGATCAGTTTTTGGAAGGATCTTTGGTGTGGGGAGCTTCCTCTTGCTCTCGCTTTCCCACGGCTTTATAGGATTGCTTCTCACCGACAGGCCATGGTGGTTGACTGTTATCACTTTGATAACGGGAGACTGACTTGGGATATTCAGTTCAGGAGGCACTTTCAGGATTGGGAGATCGAGGATGTTTCTCGTTTTTTGGAGCTTCTGTATAGCCAGGTGATCACTTTTGGGGAGTCAAATTGTTGGTTCTGGGTTCCTAACTCACAGGGTCGTTTCGAGGTTAGGTCCTTTTTCAAGTGCCTTTCGATTGTTCCCGGAGACCCTTTCCCCTAGAAGTCTATTTGGCGTTCTAAGGCTCCCCTCAGGGTCACCTTTTTTGCTTGGACTTCCGTCCTGGGTAAGATTTTAACCCAGGATAATTTGAGGAAGAGGAATCAGGTGGTGTTCAATCATTGTTATATGTGCTTGTGTGATGAGAAGACAGTTGATCACCTCCTTTTACATCGCAGCATGGCCAGAGACCGCTGGGATTTGATGCTTGGATTATTTGGGGTCCATTGGGCTATGCCTTGTTCCTCGAGAGGGTTGATTGAGGCTTGGAGAGGCGTCTCTGTTGGGGCTCTCATTCAAAATGCTTGGAGGGCTACGCCTCTTTGTATTTGGTGGTGTATTTGGTTTATAGAGAAATAGGAGATATTTTGATGGAAAAAAGAAGTCTGTTTCTATACTTAAGTTCTCTATTATTTCTACTCTTTTTTGTTGGGTTTCAGGGAGAGATTATAGATCTACAGAGGAGATTATTGTTTTTTTGGCCTCTTTGAAGGTCTAAGGCACCCTTTCGCCCTTTTGTTTCTTTGGGCTCCGCTCCCCTTTTGAGCGTTTTTAATAAAATCTTACTTATAAAAAATAAAAAAAAAGGTGGATTATTAGATAGTGAAGAAAAGACTATTTTTGAATAAAAAAATAAAAAATCCCAAGCAAAAAGAGAATCTGTCCAACTAACAGCATCTCACAAAGACGCAAACCACATGACATACTTAAGAAGAATGACATGAGTTAATGCTGGCAAATTTCACCCATCCTTGCTAACCCACCCAATATAAATAGGTTTGAATTGTTATTTTTCAATGGCTTGTTGAGAATAGCCCCCTCCTTCCCCAAACACAACTAAACCAAAGCGAAACTATAAAAGCACCATTTGTGGAGGCCTATCTGCTGGCAACCCTTGATTGATATTATTAAAATAATCAATTAATAGTTTGTTACTTTTAAAATATAATTAAGTTGGGTTTAGGAGAAACTGCTCAGTGCAGTGGCATTTAGGACTACCAAGCATGAGAACATGGCTCTAGTACGAAGTAATAGTTTTGTGCAAATGATGCCAAAGGTTAGGTTTGTACCAAATCCATACCCTTCCAAGACCATTAACGAAGACTGCACTAGGTAATGACGTCTTTCTTTAGTCTTTTATCTTTCTTTTTTTTTCTTTTTCTTTTTTTTTTTGCCCCTGATAGATAGGTCAAATTTAAATTGCATTTCCCAAAATAATTGTAAATGTTCTGCATTATGTTCACTACATACTCAGTATGCACTAATGCACATGGTTCTCCAACTTCAAATTAAAATTCACTGCCTCTGGTCCATTCAAATCTGAATTCCACAATAAAATGATGTTGCACCAAAATCAACTTTTTCTTGACATGGTCCAGATATATTATATTATTTTAAGTACATATTTCCCAATCTGCGTATGTCTTCTCCCCTTATAAGTAACACACATGCACACATGTTCCAACAATAACCCTGCATCTCTCCCTTAAAGGGTGACAGGAGATACCACCCAAGTTTAACGACTAGTCACATCTTACCTGAATGTTTTTTGTCTATTGCAAAACTCCCTCTTGTTTTCCAGAACAAAACACACATTGAAGTTTTCATAATAATGTCTCTTTCAGTCATTTCTTCTGCCTCGGCGATTTTCCTCTTGTTCATACTGAACTAGAACCTTACGTTGGTTGGTTAATTCTTAACATATTAATGTAATGCTAGTCTTTTCTTGGTCACTCTCTGTGAAACCCAAAACTAAGGCTTTGCTTCCATGACAACTAAAAAGCCTCTTGTTCTAAAAACTAGCCTCTTGTCAATTGGTGCTACATGTGTCTTCGGGATGAGGAGACAATGGATCATCTTCTTTTACATTGCACCATGGCCAAGGATTGTTGGGACTTGATGCTTGTTTGTTCGGGTTCCATTGGGTTATGCCTCGCTCCTCTAGACAGATGGTTGAGGCTTGGAGAGGGTACTCTGTGGGGGCCCATATTCGTGATGCTTGGAGGGCTACGCCTCTGTGTGTGTGGTGGTGCATTTGGCTAGAGAGGAATAGAAGATATTTTGAGGGCAAGGAGAGGCCTACTTCTTTTCTTAAGTTTTATATTCTTTCCACTCTTTTTTATTGGGTTACGGGTAGAGATTATAGATCTTTTGAGGATTTTGTTGTTTTCTTGGCCTCATTGAAGGCTTAGAGGGCTGTTTTTTTGGGCCCTGTGTTTGTTCTCCTGGGATGCGTTCCCCTTTTGAACGCTTTCAATGCATTTCTTACTTATCAAAAAAAAAAAAAAGTCTGAATATACGTTTATTCTCAAATAGGATGAAACTAATAAGTTATTACAAAGAAAGAGAGAGAGCTGCTAGTTGGATGCATTTATATTTTCTTAATGCTTAATCCGATCAAGGGTACTTAAATAATCGCATTATGTGGCTTCGTTTAGTAGCTTATGGATTTAATTTGTTAGTTGTTGGGGTTATCTGTCTTACTGAGCCTTTGTGTATGACTTTCAATAGCTTTATTTATACCAATCTAACTAAAAAAAATTAAGTAGTTTCTAATCTTGTAGTCCTAATCCTGGTAGAAGTACAAAAAACCAAGCATCTTATTTATAAATATATACTCTTTCAACTCAATTGAGTGCAGTTTAAACTATTTTTCAGAAGATTCAAAGGTTTATATGATGCAACCTAACCTAGTAGGATGCCTAAAGGATTCTAAGTAAGAGTCCCAGAATATATTCTTCTCTACAACTTTGCACTAAGAATTTGTTGTTCCAACTGCAAATTATCCCTAATTTCTGTAACTTTTTCAACCCAAACTCCTGATTACATACCCTCCATTTCTTCTTCCAGACATCTACTTTAACATTCCAATTTTCAAATCTATAACAAATCACTGTCCAGAAATTCTAGGAAACATCTTCTTCACCGCTCCAGCAACTTATCACCATCAATAGAGCCAACCATCTTTTGAACCATAAACCAAAAATCTATCCATAACCTCAGCCTAGCATAAAACTAATTGTGGATAGAAGTATTCTGATTTCAGGAGTTCTCTCCTAAATAATACTTATTGTTCTCTACATGTTATCCAGGAATAAGCCAAATAACCTCTCCCAACACATGTAGACGGGATTGAAAATTCTCATATGGATGAAACTAACTGGAACGAGGATAAATTGATCAACTCTCTGTAAGCCTAAGCCTCATGCTCCTTCTTTTGGAGTTTAATGCTGAAGGATAAGAAACAGAGAAGATTCAGCTCTTCTCACATGCTGCTATGAAAGAACAACACCATGAGACATAATATCCAAACATTTATGCCTCCTTATATTTTAACAATTCTGGATACTTTTTTTATACATTTCCCTTAAGGCAACTGACCTTTGATCTCAGACAAGGCACTATAGTACCAAACAGCTCCAAAATCCTATGAACCTGGTGCAACCAATGATCATGGATTGCGTTAGTTTTAAGGGAGAAACTTTCAATTGATAGTTCCTTTTGCCCCTAAAAACCTTCAGAGATTGACCCCAGTTGAAAACTAACACCATGTCCTGGAGAGAAATCTCATCCCCACACACCATAAAAGGTCACAACAAGCTGCACCTTGCATCCACTATGACTTGCTTTGAACATACAAAAGTTGCAAGAAGTGAACTACCCAAGTCAAAGCAAATACTTCAATCAACCAAAAGAGAATCTATGCTGGGCATAAAAGCCATTCATCAGCCGATACCCCTCAAAGCATACACAGGATTTAATAATTCTAATTAGGAGTGTTACTAGCATTAAGACAGAGCAGGTGAAGTTACAAGCAGGTCCACCAAGGATAATCCACAATAGGAACTTTGTGAACTTCATATATCTCCTTTAAATCAGCAACATAGACAGGAGAATGAGCAAAGGATGATCCACTGTATGCAACAACAGTTTTCTAAAAATCTTTCCCAGAAAAACTGAAGGTCACCCCTCCCCTCAACAGAAAAAAGGTTCACAAGGAAATCAAATATGCATAAAACACAACAGAAAATTGACCAAAAGGAGAAGCAAAGCAGTGGGTACACAAGGATGGCCAGGTGTAATGGGTGGGCGCTTGCCCATTTACCCAGAAGCTTAAGATGTTGGATAGTGCTACATGCCCACCCATTCATACCCAATCACTCTCCCATCTAGATCCAATGTGGGACAAATCTCCCCTTGTAACATTCTCCCCCACCCGAACTCGCAACACCCTCGTTGCGGTCAAGACACCCTGTCTACTCGGGTGGCTCACCCGGACGCCGTCCAGACCAGGAGCTTGGCGTGGCACCGGACCAATGACTAAGTTTGGTTCCAATACCAATTGTAACGGGTGGGCACTTGCCCATTTACCCAAAAGCTTAAGTTCTTAAGTAGTGCTACATACCCACCCAATTGTACCCAATCACTCACTCTCCCATCCGGATCCGATGTGGGACAAATCTCCCCTTTTAACACCAGGATAGTAGCTGATGCCAGCAATACCAATGCAAACATTAGCAAAAGGACAACATACTCACTTTCAGCAGAATTTAAAACACACACACACCCCGGTTTGGAAGACAAATGGAAAATGATAGATAGATGGATGGATAGATAGAGGAGAATTGAAACAGCCAAGCCCATATACTATTTACTTGCAGAAGCAAAATTTAATGAGTACCCCTGGTGAATCTAAGATTAACAAGAAAGAACAATAAATGCACACTACATGTTTTGAGGACTTAGTTTGGATAACAAACCTGAATCTCCATGACTGCTTCGCCTGTTCTTGTCGGTTGACTTCCTGCTTCAGGTACCAAATTTTTGGCTTTGTGGCACTACAATGAAGCCATTAACCCTAAACAATAAGAGGTAGAGAAGATATTGCAATCCTGGCACAGTATTTGGATCAATTACACCATAATAACTGCTATTATGAAACTAAGATTTCGAGAAACAGTCACATTAGTAGATCTCTTCCTTAAGGAAAGAAAATGCAGTACCTCATCAAATATGACAAGACCATCAAATTCTGGTCCACACCATTGCACAAGCTGCTGCAAACGAGAACGACCTTTCTCCGAAGATGCTATAAGGCTGTTGTATGTCAAGAAAACAACTCCCTCCCTAACTCCAACAGACTTTGAATCAAGTTTAGAATAAGGCAGCTTGTTTAAAGCATGGACTGCAGACAAAAATTTGTTACAAGTCAACACAGCAGTGCCTTAAATTTAAACCAAATGGAATCAGAAAAACAGAAAAAAAATAAACAAATAAATGAATAGATTAATATTACACAAGCATTTCACAGAGTACACCATACCATGAATGAAAAGCATCAACTAGATATGTTTGAAGCAGTCCGTTAATTCCTTAAATTTGGCAAGAGAAAGATAAAACCTGAGAGGATCGCAATCCTTGCACCACACTTCACCTACTTCAGTGTGCATTTTTATATCTTACTTCCCATTCCCTCTCTGCTCCTCGCCTATCTGTATATATACACACATATCTATATGGAGAAAGCTAATATGTCCATTGTGAGGAGGACAACTGCCTCCATAAAAGTAGAATAAAATGTCTCAGTATAAATAAACAAGCCAAGCTCAAACAATCTACGGTTTGCTTTTGGCTAGCAAATATATTCAAGTGTTTTTTTATCAGGTTCATGAACATTAATTGTTTATTAGAGCTTATTTGGGTTTATAATCAATTTTTCTCCTTATATATCTTGATCTCGAGCTCCAACTTGAGAACAAGCTCTAGTTTGATCTTAAAATTGGCTAAATTAGCCAAAGGAGTCAAGCTCAAGCTTAACGGGCAGTATCCAAACTGATCTTGAACATCCCTAATCTGGGATCAAGCAGCTGTTTGATTGATCATGAATTGTATTCTCTTCACCAAAAGGTCAGGATCTTCCCGAAAAATGTCACTGTACAACGGCCACTGTGGGAGAGCTTTACTGCACAAATAGCCTTCCAAGAAAAGTCCTTCCAGTCACCACTCTAAAGCATGCAATACAAAGATCTCACCTCAAATTGAGCCTCTCAATCACCCCCACCTTACCCAAAGCTCATCTCACTCATCATTGGCCTGTACATAAAGAATGCCATGGAAGGCTATTAACTTGTCCAACTCACAATCCTTTAAAGACCCGTGAAAAGAGTATCACACACCCACACCAATTCACTGTCTGTGAAACTCATATAATCTGCAACCATAGCATAGCCGTCAACCACAATCCTAAATGAACACGAAATAGTTGACACAAGGAACCCTCACCATAACAGTGGTCAAGCCAAAATCTAACTAATATATATATATATATATATATATATATATATATATATATATATATATCTTCATTCATTATATGCTCTCCTCCACAAACAAAACCACCATTTCGCTCACAATTGGAACTAGTAACAAGTTCAACCCACACCAAACTAAAAATCAGTGCCCTCTTTTTCATAGAAAATGCATGTGACAATGCATCAGTTCATAACTATTACAAATCTCAATACAAACATTGGCATAGAGAGATATATATATATATATAGAGAGAGAGAGAGAGAGAGTTTCCTAGATTAACACAAAAATAGCTAATATTCAAGAGATAGAAGTCAAGTACGACAAAACTCCTAAAAATACATTAAAAAGACTTGTCTACCTTCAACACACATTGCGCCCACATCATCCAAGTCTCTCCTTGAATCAAACTTCAAGTCTGAACCAACAGAAATCCACCTGTGTAAAGATCATTAGAAGGAGAAAACCATTATAACACACAAATTTAGGACAAATCATTTCCTGGTGCTAATTCAGTTATCAGACCTTAATATAGCAATCAAATGAGGTATAGAACCATTAGAAATGTCTATCTGAGCAGATTGGATCAACAAAATTCTTACAATGCTTTCCTCCTCCCATGGTGCCAATTCTCCCATATTAACCCCGCAATTGTTCGTCCTTTGCCCACACCAGCTCCGTCTCCAATAAAAAATCCTGCCCTAGCACCATTCTGAAGATGCTGAAGGTGTCTCTGTCATGAAAACCAAATAGATGGAAAGTGATGAAGCACGCTCGGAATTAAAAACCATAAGTTGAGATCTAAATGAAACCTGACTAGCATAAACCAACGTCTCGATCTGCAAGCATGACAATGTTTTTGAACTTTCAAGTTCATCTTTGATCTTAAGGTCATAAGTTGGTTCAGGTGGTTGCACTGCAGATAAGGACGATGTCTCCACAATAGGATCGGGATGGGGAGGACCAATAGATAGTTTGGAAGGGCGCTGCATAAAAAATAAATAAATAAATAATGAAAGACAAGTCTGCAATACTAGTTTCCATTTGTCTAAACTGACAAGTCAAGCAAGAACACTAATCGCCAAAGTAGAATTTGAAATACAAATTTCCATAAAATAAGAGAAAAGAAAAGAAAAAAACACACACATAGTCTGTAAACGTTTCTCCCGCCATGCCACCCTCATCTTCTTCTCGTTCCACTTCAATGGCTACCTGGAATTGTTCAGTGTAGGAACAAGAACAAATGCATATTATAGAAAATTTGTCAATCGACTTGTTCCAATAATTTAAAGCATATAACAACACAAGTTCCAAGGCTATAAAGAAAGGTAATGTAGTTGTGCATAAGAATCTTTAAGAACTTCCTCTTCTGAAAAAATATAATATATTCGAATGAGGAAAGTGTCTTTGAGTTAATTAACAGCAAAAAATGTTTACAGACAAGAAAAGTATCTTGAGATGAAAAAATAAAAAATAAAAAAGAACTTCACATTAGCAGAAGCATCTGCAATATAAACACGTCTATCAGCATCAAATAAATTCGATTTCTAAAGAACACCAGAACTTAAGCCGTCAAATTTTTCACTTGACCTTGACTACAAAGACATAAACTGGTATTATCAAGACTGTCAGGATATATTCCCTTACAATTTAGATTTTTCAAGGAGCCCAATCATGTGATTAGAAAGAAGTTTGCAGTTAAACAAATTTCATGCACAGCTTTACAGAATATCCAATGCCTACAAGTATGAAGGTCAGGCTGGGGCCAGGAGAAAAGAAAAACCATCCTTAAGCAGTTCAAAGGTTAGAGGTAAATCCAATGCAAAGTAAAATATTGTTAAAACAATAAATATATAGAATTGAGGAGATAATAGAAAGGAGTAAACAACTAAATTGTTAAGAATAATCATATTATAGGTGCTTTTCTTTAATATTTTCTACAAGTAAATAAGACTAATTTTAAGGCATCAGAGGAGCTGCAACCCATGTACACGTGACATTATCAAAATGTTTATGTATTCCTATATAAAGTTAAAGAATTTAAACAGTCTAAAGAAAAAAAAATATATCCAAGGTAGGACTAAAAATTCCAGTCACTCGATCAAAAAACAAAAGCTCAAAAAAAGTTTTTGTTCTATGAATATGGCTTTCCTTGTTATCAATATGCCCATTAAGTGGACATGTGTGAGTGAGTATATTTACCCATCAAGTTATATATATATATATATATATATACCCCAATTAAAGCCTTAATAAAATTCTTTTACCTCAAATAGCCTAGTGTCCATCCATTTCATCCACACCTTCACCCAATCTATCAAAATCTTATACAGAGACCAAAAAATCCATTACATCCTCAACCTCCCAATATTAACATTTCTTCAAAGAGCTACATCCTGAACAACTCATTATCTAAAGCCATAACATAGACCTCCACAAAATTATCTTTATCCACCACCAATGATAATGTATTTAAAAAAAGTCCTCTAGGATCACATCGCAACACCATCATCATGCCAAAATCTCCCATAATAAGTACACATTTTTTTTAAAAATTAATTCCATCCTTTCCTCATATTCCATTCCATTATCCACCTCTACTACTACAAGAATAATTTCAATCATCCAGATCCCCCCCCCCCCCCCCCTCCAATGTGGCTCCTCGTGTTATTTTTATTTTATTGTTTATAATTTTTTAAAATCTTATAAAATGCCCCTCTAAATTTCTCCCATTCTAAAAATTTCTCCAACTCCTCCTTTTTTTTCTTTTATTTTTTTGCTTTTTCAAATTTCTTTGATCCCTTAAAAAAAATTGCAATTCCCTTCTTCAATCAAACCCTAATTTTCCTTTCAAAGTTCTCTCATTTTTCTTTTCTTTCTATTTTCTCCTTCTTCTTCTTTTGTTTTTTTTTTTTTTTTTCTTTTCTTAGAATTTTTTATTCTTGCACTCAAGTTGCAAGTGCAGTAAACTTTTTCTCTCTTCTTATTCTTTTTCTTTTTCTCTTGTTCTTCAAATTTTACTGCAAATTTTTTTTTGATAAGTAAATTGTATTAAAAGCGTTCAAAAGGGGAACGCGTCCCAAACTATACAAAGACAGAACGAAGCCTATGAACTCAAAGAGCTCATAAAATCAACAATATCCTCAAGAGAGGAGTAGTCTCTCCCCTGACCCCAACAAAACAAATTACAAATGATAGAAAATTTTAACACCCCAATGGAGGATTTCTTCCCCTCAAAAGATCTTCCATTACGCTCTCTCCAAAGGCTCCACCAAATACAAAAAGGGGTCACCCTCCAAAAAACTCTGGCCTGGGCCCCCACCCATTGGCCCCTCCACATATCTAACAACTCCCGAGAGGTCCGAGGCATGACCCAATGAATACCAAATTTATGCAAATTTACTGCAAATTTATGCACTTAATTTTCATATTTTACATTTTTGAATTTTTTTAACGCATATTTTATTGAATAATGACATAGAATTTGAATCTTGATTACTGCACTTCTATTTTTTGGTTTGCTGTTTTGTTACACAGTTAATTGCCATGTTAGTTTAAAAAACTAAAATAAAATAAAAAAATTGATCATGTTCAATACTTCCCCTGAAAGAAATTCCTAGCTCTGTCACTGAGCTCATCAATTTACAAATAAAGAAAATAGATTGGGACTTTGATTTGTAACCGTTGGAAATTGTGTCACGAATTCCTATTCTAATTAGGTTTCTATTCTAGAATTGTATTCTATTAGAAAATTTCTAGTCAAGTAAGTCTTGGGCTCTAAGAAATTGTAATCCTTGTCCAACAAGGAATTGGAATTGGAACTCTATAAATAGGTACCTAGGTTATGGGTTGAGACTTATGAGATTGAGAGAGATGTAGTCTCATGACTCATGAGTGAGTTGATGGATAGAGGTAATTTATGGGTTGGTAGAGTAGGGAAAACATAGCGAGGAGATGGGCTCGTGGAATGGTATTGGTGAAAAGACATGTATGCGGTGTTAGTACTCTATTGTTCTAATATCTCTACGAATCATAGTGGAATCTTTTCTCATCCATGGACGTAGCCCTGAGTTTGGGTAAAACATGTATATCTAGTGTTTGTGTGTGATTATTTTGTTGGCTTTTATTCTTGGTTCTTGGGAAATATTGTAAATCCATGGATGAGATAATTGATTTTTTGGACTCTTTGAGCATTTAGAGGCCCTATTTAGCCTTTTGTATTTTATGAAGGATGCATTCCCCTTTTGAACGCCTTTTAATACATCTTTACTTATCAAAAAAAAAAAAAAAAAAATTGTTTTGTTGGCTTTCATTGGATCCTTATTGTTCACGCGCTTCCGCTTACCCAACAAATTTGGTATCAGGGCCGAAAGTGAAGGAGATCCAGAAAACACAAGGAGTCTCAATGAGTGTTACAAAGAGTTTCAGTTGCAGGTGGAGTTAATTGGCTTGGTTACACGGCATGGAGCTCGAGTAGTCAAGGTGGAGCCTTGGAAGTTTGATTGATTGAGCAATGTATAGCGTGAACAATCAGAGTTTGGCAGTAGTATCGTCAAGATTGAAGCTGCAAAATAATTTTATTGATGAATGTTGTGGGAAGGGATGATTGGCTAGATGAAATTTGAGTCAAGGTGGAGATTGTTGGAATTTGCGTCTCAAATTCCTATTCTAATTAGATTTCTATTTTAGAATTGTATTATGTTAGGAAATTTCTTATCAAGTCTGTCTTGGGCTCTAAGAAATTGTAATCCTTATCTAACAAGGAATTAGCTTTGGAACTCTATAAATAGGAACCTAGGTTATGGGTTGAGACTTAAGAGATTGAGTGAGATGTCGTCTCATGGGGGAGTTGATGGGTAGAGGTAGTTTATGGGTTGGTAGAGTAAGGAAAACACCGAGGGTCACTAGTAGCGAGGAGATAGGCTCGTGGAGTAGTACATGATGAAAAAACATGTATGCGGTGTAGCTACTCTATTGTTGTAATATCTCTACGAATCATAGTGGAATCTTTTCTTATCCATGGACGTAGTTTGGGTGAACCATGTATATCTTGTGTTTGTGTGTGATTGTTTTGTTGGCTTTCATTGGATCCTCATTGTTCGCGTGCTTTCGCTGCCCCAACAGTAACCCTTATATAGACCTAGTACTTATGAATTCACTCGCTCTCCCTCGCTTCTCATGTAGTTGTGCTTGTTATATTTGTTTTGATAGGTGAGTTCATTAATCTTAAAAATGAAAAATAAATAAATATCACAAATGCAAACAATATATGTGAAGTTTGGAAAGCATGCATGTTCCTCATCAAAAGGAGAGCACAAGCAATTTGTTACATGGTAAAATGGAGGGGACATCCACCGAATAATACAAATTTATAATAGATTTTGTATTTCAGTATTTCACTAAACTCATCAAGTGCCATCTAATGAAGTATTATACTAAGTATTATACTTCCAATGAAGTATAATATTGTAGTTGGTCCATCTAAGTGCCACTAGTGCCACTTGTAATGAAGCATAATATTCGCCTCGACACCTACAACTTAAAGGGCCACCAATATACGTTCATAAATACAATTCCATGATCAATATACATTCATAAATACATTCATAAAGTGCCACTTGGATTTGCTGTCTTCTCACAAATTTATTCAAATATAGGTCATGGACTGCTAAAAAAAATTAGGAATGGCACCCACTAGTGAGAAAATAAGAGAAAGTAATCTAATATAATATGGACATATACAACGAGGACATATAGATGCACCAGTAACAAGAGGAAGGTTAATTCTCGTACAAGATAAAAGGCGGAGAGGACGACCAAAATTAATGTGGGATGAAGTAAATATAAAAGATTTTAAAATTTTAAATATTATAGTTGAAATGACATATAATATAAAAGAATGTAAAAGGAGAATTTATGTAGCCAACCCCATTCATATGGTATTAAGGCAAGGAAGATGATGACGACCGCTAAGAAAATGAATACTGATAGCATGAACAGAGTGCATTGTTGTGGAAAATCCCCCCTGATGAATGTCAGCCATTCAACATTTGAGAGAGAGAAAGAGATCCTAGGAATGACTAGCAATCTTCCTTAAGGAAAAATTGCTTTATTGAAAGCTACGGAAGCCAGATATTTTATTAATAGGAAAAGAACAAGAACCCTAAGAAGATTGCTGATATTCCTTCTCTTTTAAGGCAAAAGAATTTTATTCATACTGCCAATGTTCCTCTTGTTTGAAAGCAAAATAACTTTTTCATGTTCATAAATTAAATATACTGCCATGGAGACAATGAATGGTACAGCAGAGTTATTTGATTGAGAAAAAAGTCATTAGGTTTTCTGAACAGCAATGCTATACTTGAAGTCTAAAACACCAAGCATTTCTGAAATATAGCTGTATTTGGTTTTCACTTTATAAAGTGCTATACTTGAAGTCTAAAACACATAATTCAGCATACCCAGATAAAACCCACCTGGGTAGTGACTGAAACCAAAACTTTCAATGCATGATGACATCATACCACGCAATTTAGGTCAAATAATTAAGGATTTCCCCAACTTCATTAATTTGAATAGCATTTAAACCCATAGAGGTGGTGCTAGTAGCTAATATAGATTGAGTGAGTGAGTAATCAGAAGAAAACCTCGTTGACTTCTTCCGGAGGCGGCCGAGCAGTACCAGCAGGAGGAAGAGGGGGAGGGGGGAAGAAGTGCTTGAGCTTGGAAACATCCACGGCGAGGTCCACACGGCACTGAGGGCAAGCAAACCTCGAGAGGCCGTGAGGGACATTGAGGATGGCCTTGCAGTGAGCGCAGGGAAGCTGGATCTTGGAGGGATCAATGCCGTGAGCGGGCACGGTGGCGCTTGGGAGTGGGGGCCTTATCAACTCAGGCGGCAGCATCTGAGGCAATTGGCACGTAGGGCAGACGAATTCCATCGATCCGTGACTCACTGTTAAGATCATGCCGCAACCGGCGCACCGGACTTTGCATCCGCCACCGCCGCCACCTCCGGCCGGTGATTGTGGGGCCGGCGGAGGAGTAGGAGGCACCGAAGGCTGCCCCATTTTCTCAACTCACTGTGCCGTTTTTTTCCTGCAATATTTATTGGATGTGTATATATATGATTTTATACAATCGGAGTTTCGGATGAGAGAACTGATAGAGAGCGACGGTTGGATTTTAGAGCGGCAAAGAGCTGGTACGAGGTCTTCTTGGCGCTCTCTCTCTCTCTCCTCTTTACTTTCCTCCTCCCCGTATTCTTGCGAAAGGAATAACACGACTCCCTTGAGATGTGTTGGGTTGTATCCAATCATCTACTCCCAACTTTACATTCCTCAAGGGCACGTGCGAAGCGCGTGACACAACCAAACAGTAGTATTTTATTTGTAGTACTACAATAATGCTACTATTAGAAATTGTTACTTATTTGGGAATGAGATTCCCCCTATTTTTGTCATATAAAATAAATTGAGCCAATAATTGTCCTTTAAAAAAAAAATGCACAATTAAATGATTTTGTGATTTTTTTTATTAAAAATTTAACTAGAATGCAACATGAGAAAATAAAATGCAAGTAATGTTTGAAGATGAGTTTAACATTGTTGGGATTAATTCTTTCATTCGCATAACAAAAGTAAATCATATCAATTAATTCAAGCATTCACTATTTTCTCTTGTCGGTCACTCACTCGTAGGGGTGTAACTTGGGCGGGCTAGCCCAGCCCAACCCGAGTCCAGCCCATAAATTTTAAAATCTGGACATATAAATTCACAAGTTGGGTTTAAGTCAGTTTGAATTTTTTTAAAACCCAACCTTATTCAGTTTGGGCTGGGTTCAACCCGAATCCAACCCGAAAACCCAAATTAAACATTTCATAAAAAAAATTAAAAAAAATTTCCCCGATAAACACATATCACAAACCCTAACTTTCTCTCTCCTCATCCTTCGCTAACACTCTCTCTCATCATCTTTCTCTTCTCTTCGCTAACTCTCTCTCTCATCATCCTCTCTCTTCTTTCTATTTCTCTCTCTGCAGCCATTAATGGGCGAAACTTGAGAGTTGAGAGGGGGCGAAGCTTGAGAGTTAAGAGGGGCTTATTATTATTATTTTTTTCTCATTTCTTTCTTTCTCTTTCTTCTTTTTCTTTCTCTTTCTGTCTCTGCCGCCGTCCATGGGCGAAGCTTGAGAGTTGAGAGACAGTGGTTGAAGCTTGCGAACAGCGAACCCAAACTGGAACAGCGGGCGATGGAAACTGAAAGATATGGGTTTTGATTTTTTGAACAATCTAAAATGATATGCTGATTTGGGTTTTGATATAAGTAATAGGTTTTGAACTTTTGATTATTGCAACAGATGGATAAACTGAAATATATAGGTTTTGAAATTCCGATCCTTGTAGATTTAGTACTTTGCAGTTGCAGAGAGAGAGAGAGAGAGATAAGGCAAGTTCAGAGTTGAGAACGTGAAGAGAGATGGAGGCGGCGATTGGTAAGGCTGAAACGATTTGCCCTAAATATATATATATATATAATAATAGTAATAATATAATAAAAAATATATAATATACATACATATATATATATATATAATATAATATATATAAATTTCCCAAAAAAAAAAATCTCAACTCGTCAACCCGACCCAATTCGTTCGAAAAATTCAGTTCGGGTTATGACTACAACCCATGTTGGGTGTAATTTGGGTTGGTCCAACCCAACCCGATTCGGGTTGAGGTTGGGTTGGGACTGAGCTAGGTTGGGCCAAACCAACTTGCAGCCCTACTCACTCATTCCATTATTTTTCTTTTTCTTTTTCTTTTTTTTTCTTTCTTTCGTTCTCTGCCTACCCTAGACAATTTTATCTTTATTTTTAAAAATCTAAACACAATTCTTTAGAGGCAAGACTTGTTTTACAAGAAATTTGCATGCATATAGTCTTGCATGTTATTAGCAGTCTACTGCGGAGTATTAGATTATCATTGGCGGCTGAAATTTGAGAGTGCTTGCCTATAAGCTTTTTGGTGGAGGATTCAGGTGTCCGTCAGTATACCTAATGGGGTAAAAAGGTCCTTGTCCGGCTTGAATTTTAGGCAGGTGAAATGGCCAAATGATTATTATGCTTTACAAAATAAATAAAATAGTTTTGTTATCCTCAGTTTATTTTTTAAGATTTCATTTAATATTATTATTTCGTCTAAGAATTGTTTGCCTTCATTTACAATTATGTAAATTGAATAATTATTTGCGTACAATTGCATGCGGCTTAAGTACTCTTCCTTTTTAAAGGTGAAACACAATAATTCAAAACTTTCTATCTTTAGACTTTGGAGCATATTTCTTTGCTCGAGAAGACAAATTAAAAATTGAACAAAACATGCACATTGCTAGAGGAAAAAAATAAAGTAACAAAATTAGCTAGACATGCAAATTTTTTTCTAAAGTTCTTATTATTCAAGCACAAACCAAGTAAGTCCTTAATTATTAAAAAATTTATTAAATTTATAAAAGATGAATTATATCATTTGAGTAATGTATAATTATAACTTATACATTAATTATAAACTTATATGTAACTATGTTTATAACGGATATATTATAAAACTAATCTAAGTAACTTATCCTCAAACTAATCTAACTGTCTTTTATAGTTATCTTAAAACAAATTTTTTTCTAAAGTTCTTATAATTTGAGCACAAACCAAGTAAGCCCTTAATTATTAAAAAAATTATTAGGCTTATACAAGATAAATTATATAATTTGAGCGATGTATAATTATAACTTATACATTATAAACTTATATGTAACTATATTTATAACGGATATATTATAAAACTAATCTAAGTAACTTATATGTACATTCTTTAACAATCAAACTCTTGGCTGATTGGTTTGTATCTGATTAGAAGCATAATTTTTTTTTATATATACAAAATTACACATGCACTATATTTACCATGCACTACATACACTTTTATATAAATCATTAATACATTTTATTTAACTATATTTATCAAAATATGTTAGTTTAATTTTTTGACTAATTAAAAAAAAAAAAAAAACCACACTTTAACTATCTTTTTTTTTTTTTTCTTTCTTAGCAGTTGTATTTTGATTTAAAATAAGGTTATAAAGAAAACTCTATCATGGAATGAGTCATAACTGAATTTTTTATTAAAAAAAAACTTTAGCTTTTCGTATATCTCAAAGAAAAATATCGTCGTTGCTTTCTTTATAACATTAGTCTTTGATTTATTCACCATAATACATTCTGTGACAAATATTGCCATTAGGGTTTTTTTTTTTCTTTTTTTTCTTTTTTCGGTAATTAAGTGATATAATATAAAGAGACAAATAGTTACAAGAAAGCATGTGGCATACCCCATGGCCCAAACAAGGTGTAAAAGGGCAAGAAGCAAACAAAACATAAAAAGGCTAGTCTACAATTGTGGCCCAAACAAAATAAACTTTCAAATAAAAAAACATCAACCCGGCCCACCATTACAGTTCAATCATACATAAGCATATCCAAGCCTATGCACAGCCATGCTGGGATAAATCAATAAGTTTGAGAGTATCAGTTATTGCGGGTTGGAGGAGGCTGTGGTGGTGGTGGTGGTGGTGGTGGTGGTGGTGGTGGGCCCGCCACATATGGTGAGTTGAGGATGAGTCGAGGATAAGGCAAAAATTGCGGGAATCTTCAATCATGCTCCAATTTTGACGAGATAGAAAACACCACTCAAGACAAAATTGATTTATGTCAAAGTCTAATAATTTTGAGACACTTTCTTGAAAAATTTGCTAACGGGAACATCAACATGACTCTCACTAAAGCTCGAACCCTTAATCTCTCTTTGAGAAATAGGATCTGGTACCACTAGGCCATTATCTCGTTAGTAAAAAACACTTTCACTTTCAATTTTTAGCCCAAATAAAAAAAGACATTTGTATTATTATTTTTATTCAGCAAACCCTTTGAATTTACATAAAATCCGGCAATTCTCCTTATAGTCAATGTTGCTATTTATGATAGAATGAAAAGAGAGATCAAGTGTGACATACTAGTTGTATTTTTTGCTAAAAAAACAAAAACAAAAAAAATGCAGTTGTATTTTGATTTAAAATAAGGTTACGAAGAAAACTCTATCATAACATGAGTCATAATTGAAATTTTTATTAAAAAAATTCTTTAAGGAAATATCAAAGTCTTAATATATTGACATTAGCATTTTGATACTAGCTATGTAAATAGTGCAATATATTAAATTGAGCCTAGGGATTGGCCTAGTTAAAAAATATTTTGGTCTTGGTGTCTCATGAAGTATCCAGTCTTACATTTGGACTTGGATCTTCTAAAAGATTCTCTACGTTATCGTAGGTTGAATTCTCTATAAAATGACATATAACATTAAAAACTTATCTACTACTGGTGTTAAACTACGTTAAATAATTTAAAGAAACTTTAAAAATTGCACCGTTTTGAAATAAAAAAAATTTACCAAACTCTAACTACGTTTAACATCGTCATCTCTCCCTCATCTTTTCTGAAATAAGTCGTATCTCTGTTTCTCTTTTAAAAAGTAACAAATTTTAGATTTTTTTCTCCAGTTGGTACTAGGTATTAGGGGCTCATTACCTTTTTATTGTATTACCCAAATCAAAAAATAAAATGATAAAAAAATCTAGAATCTAAAAATTTCGTGCTAAAAATTTAGTGCAAACAATCCTTTGGAACCAGAAGTACAAACTAGGGAAAAAAATCTAAAATTTGTTAGTATTTAAAAGAGAAATAGATGCCACTTGTTTTAGATATGAATAAAGAGGAGAGAGATGGAGGATCGTTTTTTTGGAAAAGATGAAGGAGAGATAACGATGTTAAACATCGTTAGAGTTTGGTAAATTTTCATTATTTCAAAACGATGAATTTTCAAAGTTTCTTTAAATTAGTTGACGTGATTTAACACCAGCATTAGATAAGTTTTTAATGTTACGTGTCATTCTATAGTAAATTCAACTTACGATAACGTAGAGAATTTTTAATTTAGAGGATCCAAGTCCCTTACGTTCTAGGCATGTACAAATAATTTCTTGGACGGCTAAGTACAAACAATTTCTTAAAGGGGGTTGTAAGTACCAACTAGAAAAAAATTTGTATATATTAAATTGTGTTGGACTGGATCAATTATAATTTGTATCCTATTTGTTTAGCTAATAAATTGTTGGATATAAATTGTTGTTGAATTATTTGATTAAAATGTTAATCAAATATCAGAGTTATTAATTTT